CTAATCTTGGAGTGGTTTGCATGTGGTTTTAACCATCCAGTGGGGCGAATAGTGGCATTCCCCCTCGAAGCTTTCTCTGGTGATAGCACCTATATATCCTGCAAGTAGGAATTGATAAAACTATGGATTGAGTGTGGACTCTTATGGATGTCTTCATGGATAGCTTTCCTTCGTGCTCCCCATATTGCCCAAAGTGACACGGCTGCCCTGACGAATTCTTCAGTGGGTAACGCCTCCTGTAACTTGAACAAGCATTTCTTCGCACACTCCTGTTGGTTCATGCTTAGCTGATCAAGGATCACATCCGATGATAGTGCCCAAGTACTCGTTGAGACCGGGCAATCCAGCAAGGCGTGCCTCCAAGTATCACGAACTCCACAGAGATGACAGGCCGCCGTGGTTGCCATATTGCGCCTTAGCAGTAGCTCACCCGATGGAATAGAATGTTTGGCCAACCGCCATAAGAACACTTTGATCTTGGACAGGACGTGCAGCTTCCAAACTGATTTCCATTCACTGTTTTCCCCTTGAGCTGTTGATGATTCTTCTCTCCCTTCTAACCAAGCCTCCCGATCAAACTTCGTATGGACAAGCATACGATATGCAGAGCTTACTGAGAAGTTCCCCCTCGGCTCCTCACCCCAGGCCCAGAAGTCATCAATCTGACGCATGCATAGTGGGATCTGTAGTATTGCTTCGGCATCCATGGGTGTGAAAACCGATCTTATCAACTCCACCTGCCACGTCGCAATAGTTGTTTCAATAAGCTCCGACACCTGTTGTGGTGGCGACTGGACCAATGATGTAATCGTCCTTTTGTAGCTTTGCCTCGGAATCCAATTGTCAGTCCAAATGTTAGTAGATTCACCATGACCAATTCTCCGTATGATGCCCTGCGACATAATATCCCTTCCATCTAGGATAGCCCTCCAAATTTGCGAGGGGTGCGTTCCCAACTCCGCATCAAGCAAAGAACAATCTGGATGGTGTATGGACTTTAGTATTCGTGCACTCAATGATTTTGTATCATTTTGTATCCTCCATGCTTGCCTAGCAAGAAGAGCTAGACTAAAAAGCTCCAAGTCTCGAAAACCAAGTCCTCCCATGTATTTTGGTGTGACCATAATATCCCATGCGACCCAGGCTGGCTTCCGCTTCCCTCGCTTGTTGCCCCACCAAAACTGTCTTATGATTGAAGTAATATTGTCACATAGTCCTCTAGGGAGTCTGAAACATGACATGGAAAATATCGGGATTGCTTGGGCAACTGATTTGATCAACACCTCCTTGCCTGCTGCAGACAAAAGTTTCTACATCCATCCTTTAATCTTCTCCCACACCCTATCACGCAAATATTTAAAGGTGCCATTCTTAGAGTGTCCTACCTCGGTGGGCATCCCCAGATATCTCTCACTTAGGGACTCATTCTGCACATGTAACTTATTTTTGATCTCTTCTCTTGTACTTGGGGAGCAACCCTTTCTATCTGAGGTGGTCCTAAACCTTTGTACGTCCATCTGTTAGCAAAGGAAAAGCGATTTGTGCAGAATTTTGTGCGTGGGCCGCGCGCCCTATGACCTAGTAAAGTCAGCCCATTTTTTCCCGCCGACGCAGGAATAAAAAAACATCCTATTTCCCGCACAATGTAGCAAACAGGTTCAGCTACGCACAGGGTGCCCAAGAATCGGCGGCCAATTTTTGTTTATGCTCTGTTTCAAATTTCCTTTTTCTGTTTCTTTCTCTTTTTATTTCCTGTTTTATTTTTTTTCCTATTCCAAATCTATTTTTTACCTTTTTCTGAAATTCACAATTTTAAGAAAATGTTCGCAATTTCAATTTTTATTCAAAATTTCGTAAAAAGTTATGAATTACAAAAATGTGTTCCTATTCTAAAAAATGTTTAGATGTTTTTTGTTGTGCCAATTTTTTTTTAAATGTAAAAAATATTCCCGTTTTAAAAAAAATTCTGTATTTAAAAAAAATCAAGATTTATAAAAATGCACTTGAAAAATGTTCCAAATTTGAAAAATTCTTGTTTCTGCTGTATGTTTAAAAATCGAAAAGAATGTTTGCATTAAAGAAATGCATTTTCCAAAATTCTACTGCATGTATAAAACATGTTCCCATTTTCAAAAATTGTTCACAACTTAAAAAGTGTTCGTATTTTTATAAGAAGGTTCATGTTTTTAAGAAATATATGAGAATTCAGGAATGTTCTGTTCAAATTTTTTGTTCTTGCTTTGTCCAAAAATGTATGGAATTTTCAAAAAACTGTTCATAATATAGAAAATTGTTCACGTTGCCAAGTATATCTGGTAGTTCATGTTCTGAATTCCGAAATTGCATTCCTATTTAAGAAATGTTTAAAATTTTAAAATTTTGTCATTCCAATGTTTTCAGTATTTAAAAATTTATTCCCATTTTTTGAATTTTTTTGGGGTTTCCAAATTTGTTCAATATTTAATAAATGTTACAAATTTGAAAAATATTCTTGTTTTAGTGATATGTTTAAAAAATGAAAATAACTTTTGCACCAAAAGACACATTTCCTATATTTCTTCTATATGTTTAAAACATGTTCCCATTTCCAAAAAAAATTTCACAACTTCAAAAAAAATCGTATTTTTATAAATCAATCATGCTTTTAAGAAATGTTTGTGAATATCAACAAATGTTCCGTTCAAAATTTTTGTTTGTTTTTTTAATGTGTGGAATTTTTTTAAAAAAATCATGATTTGGAAAACTGTTCACGTTTTTTTTGTGGGTCTAAAAAAAAAACTGTTCACGTTGCCAAGTATATTTGGCATTTCATAGTTATCAGTTTATTCTTTAATATTCACGCTGACCATTGGTTAGCAAAACACGTTTGTTTGAGTGGCTAGCAACATGTGGTCGGGTCTTTGAGGTCGTGAGTTCGATCACTCCCATACGCGCATCGAGCGAAGTCGGCTTGTTCAGAATAAGGGACACCATAAATTATTGACAGTGGTAGCTTCCATGTGCCAATAAAAGATAATATGCTGGTTAATTATAATTGAAACAAATTATGGGAACGTGCCAATAAAAAAGAATTGTTTGGCTCTAATTAAAGGGTGCCATGTTGAACTAGAGAATACAGACATGTGGGGGGTGTTGATCAATTCTTATATTGAGCTAGAGGTATGTAATTTTATTATCCCGTTGCAACGCACGGGCACGTGTGCTAGTGTATACATAGAAAATACATCAATACATCCATTGCTTTCTTTCTCCTTTTCGACCTCGAGATTCTCAGAGTTCACACTAGACAAGAAAGACGACCACTAGGAAGAGTTCACACTAGGCAGCAGTGCGTTGTTGCAATTGCACCGGTCCATTCAATCAACGTCACCTTTGGTGACTGGGTCATGGTCTCTTCGCCCCACTCTGCTTTCCCAATATTCAGTGGCCTTTGGTGACTAGGTCATAGCCTCTTCGTCAACTGGCACCAACCAGACCCGAATGAACGGTACATGACCGTAGGCCAGACATCTCCAGTTCGGCAGTTCTCCACAAAGCATCCTCTGGAAGGTATTGCTCTTCTTCCAGCATGCATCACACAGCCGTCCTCCTCCTCCTGACCATCATAAACGCCACTTCGTTCTTCACGGGTGATGCGCCACAACCCCCAAGCTTCCACGGTGGCAGTTGCATCGCCGCCGAGAGGACTGCCTTGCTCTCTTTCAAAGAGGGCATCACAAGCGACCCCGCCGGCCTCCTCACCTCGTGGCGCGGCCAGGACTGCTGCTGGTGGAGAGGCGTCAACTGCAGCAACCAGACCGGTCATATCATCGGGCTTCGCCTCCGCACTCCAAGCCCGAACGTGTTCAAGGATCCATGTGACGGTAACAGTCTGCTCGGTGAAGTAAGCCACTCTTTGCTTTCCTTGGAGCATCTAGAGCACCTGGACCTCAGCATGAACTGCTTGTTTGGGCCAAACGGCAGCTTTCCAGAGTTCCTGGGCCAGATGAGGAACCTGAGATACCTCAACCTCACCGGCTTAACGATGTTTACCGGTAGGGTGCCTCCACAGCTTGGTAACCTGTCCAAGATGCAGTATCTGTCCATCGGCCAGGCTGGTAGTCGCTCTCAGATGTACTCTGATGACATCACCTGGTTAACAAACCTTCGTTTGCTACAGCACGTTAGCATCGGAGGGATAAATCTCTCGGGGATACATGACTGGCCTCATATGCTGAACATGATCCCGTCTCTAAGGGTTATCAGTCTTAGTGGTTGTTCGCTTCAGAGCACAAATCAATCGCTTCCGTACCTCAATCTCACAAGACTTGAAAAGCTTGATCTTTCCTGGAACACTTTTGACCACTCAATTGCAACTAGTTGGTTTTGGAAAGCCACAAGCCTCAAGTACCTCAATCTTCAGGCCAACAGATTATCCGGCCAATTTCCCGACGCACTAGGAAACATGACATCCCTTCAAGTCCTTGACGTGTCAACAAATTGGAACAAGTACTTGATGATGACAGGAAACCTGAAGAATCTTTGCAGTCTGAACATTCTAGACTTCAGCAATAATGAAATAAATGGAGATACAGCAGTCATGATGGGGGGTTTGCCAGAATGCGCATGGGAATCTTTGCAAGAGCTAGATTTCAGCTACAACAGTTTCACGGGAACATTGCCAAATTTGATAGGTACATTCAGCAGCTTGAGGAGACTTGAACTCTCCAATAACAACCTCACGGGGAGTGTACCACCAGGCATTGGGAATTTGACATGTTTAACTGCCCTTGACCTTTCGAACAACCGCTTCAGTGGAAGTGTACCCTCTGAAATTGGTTCCCTGATCAATCTATCTTCTTTGGATCTAAGCAACAACAACTTCAGTGGTATTGTGCCTTCTGAAATTGGTGCCCTTAGTGATCTGACTTCTTTGGTCCTAAGCAAGAACAACTTTAGTGGTGTGATCACGGAAACACATTTTGCAGGTCTAAAAGGTTTAAAGAACATAGACCTGTCTTCCAATAGTTTGAAGATTGAAGTAGATTCCGATTGGCTTCCTCCCTTCAGGCTGGAGTCTGCGCTGTTTTCATCTTGCCGAATGGGTCCTCTGTTTCCTGCCTGGCTTCAGTGGCAACAAGAAATTACTAAACTTGACATTTCCAGCACAGCTCTAGTGGACAAGATTCCTGATTGGTTTTGGTCTACATTTTCACGAGTCACATACCTCGACATGTCTGACAACCAAATTAGTGGAAACTTGCCAGCACATCTAGATGACATGGCGTTTGAAGAACTCTACCTCAGTTCAAACCGGCTTACAGGGCCAATACAACCGTTCCCAGGAAATATCACCGTGTTCGACATCTCCAACAATTCCTTTTCAGGAACACTGCCATCAAATCTTGAAGCTGTGGAACTGCAAACATTGCTCATGTATTCAAATCAAATTGGTGGTAGCATTCCAGAATCTATGTGTAAACTACAAATGCTGGGAGATCTAGATTTATCAAGCAATCTTTTGGAGGGTGGAATTCCTCAGTGCTTTGAGAACATATCCATATCATACCTACTATTAAGCAACAATAGTTTATCAGATACATTCCCAACATTTCTGCACAATGGAAAGAGTCTCGAGTTTCTTGATCTTGCATGGAATAAGTTCTATGGAAGGATACCAACATGGATAGGAGAGCTCAGAAGATTACGGTTTGTGCGACTAAGTCACAACACGTTTTCTGGGACTATTCCAGTTGAAATAACGGCTCTCAGTTATCTTCAATATTTGGATCTATCAGGAAATAACATATCCGGTGTTATACCTTTGCATCTGTCAAACCTAACAGGTATGACCCGGAAGGGCTTCATGCCTATATCTGGTACAGATATTGGTCCATCTGATTTGGGTTCAGTAACTGTAACAGGTCAATTTGGAGCGCTCTTGTCAATAATCACAAAAGGGCAAGAGCTTAGATATGGTGGCACCCTGGCATATTTTGTGAGCATTGATTTATCAGGCAACTCCTTGAGTGGTGAAATTCCCATGGATATCACTTCCCTTGATGCATTGATAAATCTCAATTTGTCATCAAACCACCTGAGTGGAAACATTCCTAGCAAGATTGGCGACCTACGGTCATTAGAGTCTCTTGACCTCTCTCAGAACAAGCTTTCCGGTGAAATCCCATCAAGCTTGTCAAGTTTGACATCTCTTAGCTATTTGAACATGTCTTATAATAGTTTGTCTGGAAGGGTACCATCAGGCCACCAACTTGACACCCTTAGTGCCAACAACCCAGCACTTATGTACATTGGAAACAACGGACTTTGTGGGCCTCCTCTTCAGAAGAATTGTTCAGGAAATGGTACGGTTTTTCATGGTCATCTTGGAAGCAGCAATCGGGAATTTGAGCCACTGACCTTCTATTTTGGTCTTGTGCTGGGACTTGTAGCGGGGCTCTGGAGTGTGTTTTGCACGTTCCTGTTCAAGAAGACATGGAGGATTGCTTATTTTCAACTCTTTGATGAGCTGTTTGACAGAATCTATGTATATGTGGTTGTGAAGTGGGCAAGCTTCACAAGGAAGACAGATGAAGAATAAGCAGATTTCTTGAAGGAGACAATGTCCGTGCCACAAGCAATAGAATGGGAGCTCCATATTAATCTGGCTGGGTGAGGAGGAGACAGAATATGTGTTAAGTCGTGTGTCTTGTTTAGCTTTTTGTCTAAATAAAGATGTCTGTTGGATAATTCTTCTTATATATACATGTAAGACTTTTGCTATGCAGGACCCCAATCGCACAAGGACCTTTTGCTGAATAGTTTCCACAGGTTTTTCTGCTGTAATCAGGGAATTAATTTTTCTTTGTTGCGTGATAGATGTAGATTAAGGGGCAATATTCTTTGAACTAGTACAAAATCCTGCAAAACTGCAGGTCTGCACCATATATATACTCCTGTAAAACTTAACCATTTAAAAACTGCAGCCCTATATATCCCATATTGAACACTCCCAGACATATGGATATGCACTCTACACTACAGCAACAACTTATGAATCGATGCTACGACTTCTATTTACGGGTGCCAATTATACAGGTGAGAGATTATTGCATGAACCCTTCCAGTTTCAAGACTTCTGATCAAGACATTACCTGGTTACGAATGAATGACGTTGTACAACGGACGCGCCCACCGTCAGGATTGGAGATGCCCTGCATCGGGCGCCCACCATCGTCTGATCGCAGGGTTACAGTGCGCGGGCGTCGTCCTCAGCTGCTCCTCCCGTTCGTATATTGGTGCGGCAGCCGAACTTCACCACACCGGTGAACAGCGGGCCAGGCATTCTGTCGAACAGTTGGCGGACGCGGCCACGCCGTTCCCCGCTCTGGTGACCACTGCATCTTAAGTGACCAACAAGGAAAAAGGGTGGTCCGCTGGTGGCGGTGGCCGCAGGCAGTGGTCGGCGGTGCGGAAGCGATAGCGATGGCCCGTCCGGCGAGCGGGGAGCCGTGGACGAGAGCACGGAGGAGGCGCGACGGTGGGCAAGTCTGTCAGGGAACATTGCTCTGTTTTTTCCCCTCCTTCCGGCCTTTCTTAGTTTTCACATGATTTCAATTGGAAATTTGGCGCATAGCTTTGGGGGGGAATAAATGGTCAACCGATCTTATGTACTGATCTCCACTACTTTTATTTCTCTCGACATGCGTGAAAATATATATTTATATTCTACAAATATTTTATAACTATATTATAAATCATGTATATTTTCCCGCAATAAAAATTATATGTATTTTCAATTTTTATTATCTTATCGAAGTTTTAGATGACCAATTCTCATCAAAATATATTGCAACCCAGTGGCGCAGCTAGTGTTGAATGTGATGTCAAGCGCATCACAAAATCTGGGCTAGCTTCGCATTGTTTGTGTTTGACTATACTTATGCATGCATAAGTGTAGACAAACTACAATTAACACATGTCCCCACTTTTCCGGAGCACATCATAAAAGGAGATTTTCGCAGGAATCTTGGCCACCTAGGCCTTTTCACAAACTTCTGAATATCACCAAACTGTCTAGGAGGCAGAAGCCTCCAAGAGTAATAAACTCACGGGCTCTCACTCGTATAAATTGATGCAGGGAGCTCAAACCAATGCAATGAAAGGTCAAGCAACAAATGCTCAACTCACTCTCTTAATCTCACAAGATGCACTCTCGAAAGTAGGAGACTGAAGAAAGGGTATGCAATGGATAGAATCAATAAATGACTCCAAGATTCATCCACAAATCCTCCTTCACATATAGGGGAGATAGGGGTTTGGAAGGGATGGTAAGAGGCTCAAAATGATGTTTAGAAAGTGTATGAACAACCCCAAAAACGGTGGGGTGAAAGGGCTCTTAAATAGCCAAATCCCAAAACTAGTCGTTGGGCTCCAACGGACACTTCCTAGACATCCCGTGCCCACGGGGGTTGAGACCCCGTGCCCACGGGGTCTCGTGCACATGGTACGAGCCAGTGGGCATGGGGGCCCCATGCCCACGAGGTCAAAACCCCGTGCCCACAGGATACACAGAACAACATGCAGCAGCTAACTAAAACATGCATAACTTTGGCATATGAACTCCGAATTCGATTATCTTGGGCTTGTTTTAAAGCTATGAAAAATCCCAAGGTCCTCATATAGAGAACCATCGAATGTCAACAAGAAAGAATGATGCAAATCATGAAAAGTTTTGAGCTCTCTACATGCGACGTGATCAAGCAACTTGCCCGAAAGTCCCTCTTGATAGTACGGCTATCAAACATATAATCCGGTCTCCCTCCAAGCACCATGTGACCGGGAAAACTAGGAAAACCTAGTTAAGGTATACCTATGCCTTGCACATTCCTCTTGAGCTTGATGATGACTTTAGTGCTTGCCTCAAGTTGGAATTTTTTCTTGTCCACAAACACCTGATGAAGATACTCGAAATGCTTCCTCATATTGCAATGGGGGACCGCAATCTTAAAAGCATATAACCCCCGGCTTCTCATCTTGCACTTGGACTCCTCAAACCCGATGACCATCACCACTTGATGTCATACACACATAGGCTACTTGAAATATTTCCTTTTGATGCAAGGCCATGAGAAACACCTAACCCACATAGATATAACAAAAACATATCATGGGTTAGGTAGCAAAGCACAATTTACAATTACTTACCATACCACTGTTGGGGAACATAGTAATTTTAAAAATTTCCTACGCACACGCAAGATCATGGTGATGCATAGCAACGAGAGGGGGAGTGTATCTTCATACCCTTGAAGATCACTAAGCGGAAGTGTTTATCAACGCGGTTGATGTAGTCGTACACCTTCACGATCCGCCCCCGATCAAGTACCGAACATACGGGACCTCCGCGTTCAGCACACGTTCAGCTCGATGACGTCCTCGCCTTCTTGATCCAGCAAGACGGGCGAAGTAGTAGATGAGTTTCGGTAGCACGACGGCGTGGTGACGGTGTTGGTGAAGAACAATCTCCGCAGGGCTTCGCCTAAGCACTACGAAAACTATGACGGAGGATAAACTAGAGAGGACGGGGTTGCTGGCACACGGCTTGGTGTTTCTTGATGTGTCTTTGGTGCTAGCCCTGCCCCTCTATTTATATGTTGAGCGTTGGGGTCGAAACTTGGAGTAAAAGCCTCCACAAAGTCGGTTTCACCCGAAAGGCAAGAGTCCTTCTCGGACTCCAGGGCCAGATGCCAGGGTTCCCGGCGTCTGGCCCCAAACGCCAGGAACCCTGGCATCTGGCCCCTGGACTCCGCAAAACTTCCTTTTGCGCTTTCCAAAAACCTTGTGGGCTATCCTCTTTGGCCTAAATAAAGTGTTCTCGTACCCAAACATTTTGGGAAACATCTGAAACCCCTTCCGATGAATTCCGGAACCCTTCCGGAGACCAAACACTATTATCCCATATATCAATCTTTATCTCCGGACCATTCCGGAGTTCCTCGTCATGTCCATGATCGTATCCAGGACTCTGAACAACATTTGGTCACCAACATACATAACTCATATAATACTATATCGTCAACGAACGTTAAGCGTGCGGACCCTACGGTTTGAGAACTATGTAAACATGACAGAGACACTTCTCTGGTCAATAACCAATAGCGGAACCTGGATGCCCATATTGGCTCCTACATATTCTACGAAGATCTTTATCGGTCGAACCGCATAACAACATACGTTGTTCCCTTTGTCATCGGTATGTTACTTGCCCGAGATTCGATCGTCGGTATCATCATACCTAGTTCAATATCGTTACCGACAAGTCTCTTTACTCGTTCCGTAATACTTCATCCCTTAACTAACTTATTAGTCACAATGCTTGCAAGGCTTATAGTGATGAGTATTACCGACAGGGCCCAAAGATACCTCTCCGACAATCGGAGTGACAAATCCTAATCTCGAAATAGCCAACTCAACAAGTACCTTCGAAGACACCTGTAGAGCTCCTTTATAATCACCCAGTTACGTTGTGATGTTTGGTAGCACACAAAGTGTTCCTCCGGTAAACGGGAGTTGCATAATCTCATAGTCATAGGAACATGTATAAGTCATGAAGAAAGCAATAGCGACACACTAAACGATCAAGTGCTAAGCTAATGGAATGGGTCAATTCAACCATATCATTCTTATAATGATGTGATCCCATTGATCAAATGATAACTCATATTTATGGTTAGGAAACTCAACCATCTTTGATCAATGAGCTAGTCAAGTAGAGGCATACTAGTGACACTATATTTGTCTATGTGTTCACACATGTACTAAGTTTTCGGTTAATACAATTCTAGCATGAATGATAAACATTTATCATGAAATAAGGAAATAAGTAATAACTTTATTATTGCCTCTAGGGCATATTTCCTTCAATCTCCCACTTGCACTAGAGTCAATAATCTAGTTCACATCATCATGTGATTTAACACCAATATTCACATGTGTATGTGATTAACACCCATAGTTCAAATCGTCATGTGACCAACACCCAAAGGGTTTACTAGAGTCAATAATCTAGTTCACATCGCTATGTGATTAACACCCAAAGAGTACTAAGGTATGATCATGTTTTGCTCGTGAGAGAAGTTTAGTCAACAGGTCTGTCACATTTAGAGCCGTATGTATTTTGCAAATATTCTATGTCTACAATGCTCTGCACGGAGCTACTCTAGCTAATTGCTCCCACTTTCAATATGTATCCAGATTGAGACTTAGAGTCATCTGTATCGGTGTAAAAGCTTGCATCGATGTAACTCTTTACGACGGGCTTTTTTATCACCTCCATAATCGAGAAATATTTCCTTAGTCCTCACTAAGGATATTCTTGACCGTTGTCCAGTGATCTACTCTTAGATCAAAATTGTACCCCCTTGCCAAACTCAGAGCAAGGTATACACCGCATAGCATACTTTATAGAACTTATGACTGAGGCATAGGGAATGACTTTTCATTCTCTTTCTATTTTCTGCCATGGTCGGGTTTTGAGTCTTACTCAACTTCACACCTTGCAACACAGGCAAGAACTCCTTCTTTGACTGTTCCATTTTG